ATCTGTGGAAAACCTGTTTAAAAACAAACAAAAACAAAGTAAACTTCACTGTAAATCTCTTCAAGATTAGCTCATTTGTATTTTGTTTGATACATTGTTGTTCAGGTAGACTTTTATTCCTTACTGACAATAACCCACAGTACCTAAATGTTTGTAGTACTAATATGTGTTAAATAATTATTTGCAATTTTATGGACTTTAATCATATTTATGCAATTTTGGGGGTTGGGACTACATTACATTCACCTAATGCATGTCAAATAATGCTTGAACTGCCCTTGAACGAAAGATTTAGTGTGTTCCTTTAAACAAATCCCAGTCTTCTAACAGTTGATCCAATGTAAGTCCCTCCACACATTGAGCAGCAGAATTCATAAATAATACATGCCTTTTGAGAAAACTAGATACAATACTTAAACTTGAAAAACATTCTGAATTCTCAATAAAATTCTGAACATAAATTGAAGGTGAACTTGTTGTTAGATTCTGTTGATTATGGTGTATAGTTTTTTCAAGATTTGTGAGTGTGAGCCTGTGTAGGTAGAGGAATCATTACCTATAGCTTCAGGATGTCATAGTTCAGTGATCTGGCTAGATGTAGCTATTGAATGATTTTATTGATGGTAGGATCAATAAAGTAGTTTGGGAAGTAAAGTTTTATGACATATTTTAGTCTGAGTAACTCCTGTTGTTTCTTTTTAATTTTATTGTTTTATTGCCCTTTGAACCATGTCTAACTAATAATCTTACCATACAAAGTGTAAATCACTCTGTAGTGAACATTGAATGAAGTAATGAATGAACTACTCTACACATGAGCATATCCCATGGAGAATTTTTATTATTATTTTTCATTATTTTACTTAACCTAACTTTATCCAAGCTAATAAGTTTCTATTTTTTACATTTAGTTACTTTTTTAACAATAAATTAAAATTATACATAAAAAACAAAGAAATGTAGTGTTTACTTTTGACTTTCTTTTTTGCTATCAGTTGCCAATGAAATTTAAGCCTACTTTTTTATAATGATGGTATTAGTACACTAAATAATTTTTATTTATTTAAATGATAATACATACAAAGCCAGCAATGCCTTATAACTATTATAATTTAACTGGCTTTCTAATTAAGGCAAGAGGAGCTTAAAAGAATTCCCTTAGCTACTCTACCTGAACACTGCAAAATAAAATTTCAAACTGAAGATGAAATAGACAGTACTCCATATTAAAGACAATGTTACATTATATGTCATTTGATAGATTAAAACTTTGACTTTATATTGGTTATAAATGATGTAAAATTTCAAAGAAAATTGTTAGCAATTTGTGAAGAGAGAGGATGTGGCAAGTGGGTGTCTGATTTTCTAGTTTGACTCCATAAACAAATAAGATTGAAGGCTATAAAAATTAGAATTTGCCTAAGTAATACTAATAAGGAATACTTTACATTAAACTCTGTACTTAAGAGAGGGGTGGTAAATAAATTAGAGAACAAATGTTATGATTCTCATACAAGGTGAGATTGAGGATTTGTTTAAATATTTTCTTAAGATATTAGGAAGTTAAAGCTTACATTTAAATTTGATTCATTTACTATGTTGTGATGCCAGGTTTATTTGTATACATTGGTAACAAAGTAGTTTAATTAAATTCTGAATGTAACTCTTTAAAAGGTTGTGACATGCACACACTTGGATATACATGTAGTTAGAGGGTCAAAGGGTAGGATTAAATTGGTTGTTAAATTAGGGATAAGTTACTGGTTGAATTTCTTTTTCTGCATTACTATGCTAAAAATTATTTCTAATCTTTGAATACATGTGCTAATTACCTTTTGGTTTATTTCATGTATCAATCATTCATATATTGTAACTAAAGAACACTGAGGCATTGAGTAATAAACTAGATGTCTGGCTTAATCAAGGTTTATACTTTTATTATGGTATTAATTGTATTATCTCCCTGTAATAATTTTTAAATAATCACTATTATTATATGTTAGCTAAAAACCTGAACATGAAAATAACCTATCAGTGAAAGCAACCACACTACATCTACCATGTCCACTTCTGATGAGATTTTTTTGCCTAATACCAGAACTTGCATTAGACTGGATGGGATACGACAGATGCGGTAGTGGTCTAGATGATGTGTGTGTGTGTTCAGCTTTCATGAACAAAAACTTTTATGGTGAATTGTAATTATTATACATTTTACAAATCAGATTTTTAGGGAAAGAATTGATAACTCAGCATTATTTATTTTAACACTGATTATTTATTTTGAATATTATAATTATTATTCAGAGTTAACTTTTATCAGTTACTAGAGCTGGCAAACCAGCAAGCACATGTAGCTGAGTCTAGGTCTGTACATGCTATACTGCATTATTTCATAATATTAGCTGTTATCGTATGTTATCTTTTTTTTTTTTGATAATCAGTTACTATATATATATATATATATATATATATATATATACATCTCCAGAAAAAGAAACATTACTCAACTATATGTTGTACACACAAGCATCCAGATTATTGATCTATTTTAGTCTCAGTTAAACTTCATTGTTTTTTTTTGTAAATGTGTAAATACAGCTGCTGATACATGGGACATACATGTGTGTATGGTAGGTACTTCAGATGTTTTCATTGTAGACTGTTGAACTTCTCCTGTATATACTAAGTATTCCCTGAAAGCATTTTCTTCAGTTTATGAAGAAATAAATGTTTCTACCAAATTAATAAAAGGCATTTATAGCAAAAATATTTAAATCTTCAAAAGTTGATAAGAAAATTAGAGCCTAATGCAATGCTTTATTAATATTGGTAAACAAATATTTACTGCATTACTTGTTACTTTATAAAACACCAGACCTAAACAACTACTGGATCTTCAAAATGTAAAATCTACCTTATTGACATCAATAAGCTGGAATTCCACATTTCTAGGGAGTGAATTACATCCTTAAAGGAATTTCAGGAACTGAGAATTTTGAATCATGTTGACTTACTTGTCCATAACCTAATACAGTAGGTATCAATGTCCTTATCAAGAGGCCAAAATGTGAGTCTTAATTGAATTTCTGTAGCAACAAATTTGTACTATTCTTTTTTTTATAGAAATACAGGAAAACACATCTACAGCAATGTATCTAATGTGGAAATTCTTTGTAACTTACTTTCTTAATTTCTTCCATGGAAACAATAACAGTATTGGGTTTCATAATATTTGTATATTAATTTTTGAAAGTAAACATAAAGTAACAACACCAAAAAGAGATCTCACCTTGAAAAGTTTAATGCAGAACCATGAAATGTGTCTATTTTTAAAGTGTAATCACCAGTGCCTGTGTGGTTTATCTAAATTTCTTCATTTTTTGATTTTCAAAAGTGTCATGGAATAAAAACACTTTATCTCAATTTGATGGTACATACTACACCGTAAACACACACACGCACACATTTATATGAACGTGGAAGTCAAATTCAAGTTTAACTATTCTCTGACTCTACTGTCTATGTCATATTCTAAAAATGTATTTATTCTTTAAAATAATGTCTGACATAAAACTTTATGTATATCCAATGTTGAAACTATCTAATAGTGCTATTATTTTTTATTACTTTAAAACTTGAAGTTATTAAAAAAAACATGTCATTTTTTGTGGTGATTTACTTTACTCCACTGGACTCTACTGCTGTTATCTGTTGATGTGGAAGTTTAACCTGTATTCAGTAAAGAAGATTTTATTACCTGATGCACGTGGTAGACAGTCTTTAATCACTTTCCATTGTAATTGTTATACTATACTTCCATGTCAGTAATAAATTTATTACATCTGAGCCCTATACTGAATTTAATGTTTCCAATATCCTCTATTTTAACATGTACCTCAGTGTACAAGCTTTTTTTTTCCTCCTTCCTTTTGATGTAATCTGTTTTTTAAAAAAAACATTCTAGCTTACTTATATAAATACATACATATTATTTTTGCATCTTAGTGCTTATTAAATTCTTGACATTTATGTGCTTAAATAGATTGTATTGTTTTAATATACGTTTCATCTTCAGAGTACATCATTCAATTGTCTCTTCAACATTATCAGATAAGGAGTACGAATTAAGTATTCTAGTAAGATTAGAAAACAGTATTCAGCGATTGTTGCTAATGGTTTTTAAAAATTTAAACCTGCCATTAGAGATATCTTCTCATACAGTAAATGTAGAAGTCTAAAGAATCAGTGTACTTTGTGTAAAGATGATAAAACATAACTTATAGAAGTAACAAGTTGTTTAGTAGCTGAGAAATAAAATAAATGTTATGGAAGCACTAGACATATACATACCTTCAACTACAAGAAATAGTTGTTGAAAGTAATGTTTTATAGGTACATCCTATAAAGTACATACTTTGTGTGTGGTGAGAAAAATTGTGAATATGCATATTCATATACTGTGATTCTAATTGCATTCATTAGTCTTAACAAGACTGTACTGCTTAGTGTGTGATATCAAAGTTGCATAGGACAAAAAGCACCAATCATATCAAGCATGTATAGTAATTGTATATGAAACAACCAAACACATCAGTCTTACTAGTTTGAACTTACAATGTCAGTCACGTGAAATAAGCACTCAGATACATAGTGCCTCTCACACACATTAAAATAAATTGTTTTTTTGTACATGTACATTCTGTATTTTACAAGTACATGTAGTGAATTAATGACACCAATATTTATATGCAGTATGAAATCAAGGTATTTAAGAATACCATAAGCTTTATCTGTTATGCAATCAATGAAGAGAGAAGCTATAAACAATTTAGTATATATTATATAAAATACCAGATCAAGTGAAATGAATGTATCTGAATTAGTGAATTAAAGTTTGTTTCTATAATGAATGTAACTCTTAAGTATTCTTTTTGATCCCTAAGTTATGTGCAACAAAAACTCTTATAATATAAATGACTTGTTTTTTGTATTTTTAGGCACTGCGAATGTGTACAGGAGAGATGGCAGCTGTTAAAGTTATTAAACTAGAACCAGGTAATAACAAATGTTATTAAAGTTTAGGAGTAAATGGTACAAACAAGTTCAAAGGAGATTGATATATTTTATCATTTTGGAAGGTTGATAAAATTTTGAGATTAGAATAAAGTAAGCGTTAATTTTGTATCCAAGTAAATATTTGGGTGAAAATCAGGATACCAAAATAAAGTTTTTTGTAAAATTCAGACCATGTCCATGTGCATCAAATCCATTAGAAAACCATGAACTAGATGTGGTTGATGTTATAAACTTATTAATGGAAATTGTTGAATGAAATTACTAATAAGTTGAATTGTATATGTTATTGAAAAACACTAAATGAAGGTTCAGAAAGAAATATATATATAGATTGTGTACACATATGTATACAGAATTAATAACAGGCATTTTTCCTTTGTAAAAAGGCACTTTAAAAATACCTGGATCTCAAGATTAAAAAATTATAATTAAACTTATACTGCAGTATTGAACAGTATTCTACCTGTAGGTTAATGTTTTATGAAACTATATGGAATTGTAAGATTTAACAAACACTAATAAGTACATAAAAACACACGTTAGCATTGAGAAAAGTAGTAAATTGAAACGTGTATAGTCTCAAAGTGTTCTGTAACATAATGGTGTTGAAGATTCTGTGGTCTTCCAGTTGAATTGTCAATTTCATTCTGTTTATTTTTTCATTTGTTGTATTTTATTTATGAGAGTCAAAAAGTCTTGAACATGTGATAAAGTCATCTGGCATTGCTACCAAAGAATGCATCACATTTCCTCAGCTGGCTTTATCTCCTAACCTTAGTATCAATACTTTTGTTTTAATTTTTTTAATAAAATTGTATATGTGTAAAATGCCTACTTCTTTTTCTCCACAATTTTTCTAATTTCAAGTGCCAATCAAATAACTTACACAATTCATTAAAACTGTTACAAGTTCTTCTAGAACTTCACATGTAGCAATTTGTTTGGTTTAAATTCACCTAAAGAAGGGTGTCCCTGTATAGTTGATTGCTTAGAATGAAAAAAGTGTTTTATTTTTGTTGATGATTTTATATGTTGTAAGTTTTTCAATTTTTGGTCTTTTTAATTATAATCTACATTGTTGTTCTTGTAGGTGATGACTTCTCTATTATTCAGCAGGAAATATTAATGATGAAAGATTGTAGACATCCAAATATTGTGGCTTATTTTGGAAGCTATCTCAGGTTTGTCAGTAGTCTCAGTAACAATGGTACAGTTACTTATTTAGCTTTTATTACTGAAATGACTTGTCCATTTTGTATTAAATACTTTGTATTTTAAGAAATGATGACCTATGTCTAACATGTATTTAAATTTGATATAATGAAATATAAAACACTGAATACATTTTTTTACCTACTAATAAATTGAGCTTAATCAGTGTTGTTAGGCCCATTGGAATTATTGACAATTCAGTTCGTAGCTACTATAGTTAGATTTATAGAACATACAAAAGGTACTGCCCTACTAGACACATTACACAAAATGTGGGCTACCTTTGTAGTCACTTGTGGACAGGATGAGGATGCATTGATATTTAGACATTTTCCTGCAAACCTGCTAATTATTATCCAGTAGTGGTACACTTAAAACACCATCATGATATGGGCCTAACCAATATTAAGTATCTTTCCTCTTACTCAGGTAATAATTTCCATTAAAAATGAGCAAATCCCAGCTGCATGCGTGAGCCATTTTTTTTTTTTAATCACTTCACGGGAGGATGAATTTGACACATCACAATTATATATATATGGTTGCAACACGAGAGAAAAACAATAACTTAGTTTTGCAGTGAGTTACATTTATATTTATATGAGATTACAAAAGAAAAGTCAAATCAGTAAAGGGCAGTTATTTTTAATGATTATTAAACCATATCTTTATACTTTTATTTATCAGAGTCAAATAGTCTTGAATACGTGATTAAGTCGTATGGCATTGCTATCTAACAATACATCACATTTGTCTCAGCTGGCTTTATGTTATTCTTTTGCCTGTGTATATTTTGACACTTTCACCATCAAAAGCTATTTCATCAAATACAAATCATCACTTTTAATAATTTTATACTTATCCACAATCATGCTTCAAATAAAGTGTATTTAATACGTATTAAAATAATTTTTGTTGCATTGTCCATCTTCAAGAAGGAATGTCTGTATGAAGTTCAGAATGTATCTTTTGGTGTCAATTTCAGGCATTTTCCTTACAGCAGAAATATCTTGTGTGAGGCTTAGGAACTTTCTTGCAGCATTAAAAAAATCCTTATTTCTAATGATGTAATGATAAAATTTATTTTGTTATGTATTTCTTTCTCAACTAAAGTATTTTCATATAGCATTACAAAAGAATGCAACTTAATAATGCAATAAACTTACCAAGTCTTTGAAATTCATAAAACATTTAAGTTACAGCAAGTCGCTTAATTAAATGTAGCCTGCACCATAATCTTGTATAGAAAATGCACCTATTTGTGTATTTTATTAAAAACGACTGCCACATAATTAAATGTGCATGTTAACACATACATCCAGTTAAATATACATATAAGTTTACAAATAGCATGCAATGAGATGTGAAAACTCAACATACAACAGAAATAAGCAGGATTCAGCACACAGATACACATAATGTCATGTTTCTTTTCTCCCGAAACACACTTGAATAGACTTTACACATTTTTTTTCTAATCATGAATAATTTACTCTAGGTATGCATAATAATGAATACAGTTTAATTCTATCAAGGTATCAACTGATGATGTGCCAGTTGTTTGTAGTAAAATACACAAATAGGTGCATTTTCTATATAAGATTATGGTGCACGCTACAGAGGATGCAAATACAAAAATATCCTTCAGTAGAAAATAGCAATGCAGTGGTAAGTTGATTTTGATAAAACTCTGAATCATATTAGTATATTTATGAAACAAATCTTAATTATGTGAAACCATTTTACCACATGGCAGCTAATATAGACAGGGAAGCATCGTTTTTTGCCACACACAACTCAGTTGCTTTATTAAAAAACTAAAATATTTCACTGGCTAAATACACCTAAAAATGTTTATTTTACTGGTTCAGGAATGATGTACAAATATGACTACTTATTGGAAAAATCACAGATTGTAAAATGAAATGTAACAACGGTAAAAGAACAGTTAGTGAACACTGCAGAATGTTTTCATTGATGCCATTCCTATTATTATTTAGGAGTAAAAAATACATCAAGATCCCATTCAAAATTCAACCACACACATCATTTTACAAACTGAAAATAATTAATTTTTGTCTATATCTATTACACAAATACATATATACACACACAAAAAAAAATCTGGCCTTCTTGATCATTGGTGAGAAGAGACAAGTAAAAGAAAGTTTGTGTTTGAACATAATGTTCTTTGACATTTCATTTATTAGTAATAAATTAAGTGAAGAAAATTAGTTTTATTTAATAATATTAATTTTTTGTACATTCTAGGAATAATTGACCAATATTACATAAATATGGATGTAATTGATCACACATAATAAACTGATTTTGTAATATTGCCTAGGGCTTAATTTCACAATTAGTGAACATTTTTTGTGAAACTTCATCTAGAAGGATTTTGAATTTAATTTGAACATTGAAAAACAATTTTTATGCACTGATATTTTTTGTTTTATTTTTACAGATGGATTTATTATACTTTTTAATTATCAAAATGTATTATTTTAGTTAAATCTTTGAATTGTTATTGAAGTCTGCTTGAAACTGTTGTTGCAGGAGAGACAGACTTTGGATATGCATGGAGTACTGTGGTGGTGGGTCCCTACAGGACATTTATCATAGTAAGTACACAGTGTTTTATGCTAGTATCGTGATCTGCAATACATTGTATCATGAAATTCTGTTTTGGAATGACACTGAAGGTTTCTACTTCAAGCTTAAACTGAAATTATTTCAGACATTTTATTTTCAGTCGAAGATTGCCATGGATTGTGAAAGTGCAATGAAGTTTATTTTTAAATGCTAAGTTACTTAGATATCAGTAAATATACAAAAATGATACATTTTACTACTTGTGATATAAAATCTTTGTTTAAGATGATATGATGAGCTTGTAATCAGAAATAATCTATATAAGTAATATGCTTATGTTTTTCTGTTCCGTCTAGAACTTTTCTCATAAGTTTCTTAATCAAATGCTACAAATCTTAGAAAGGCTTTTGTCTGAGGAGTCCGGATTGCATCTTGGCTTGATAAAATTATAATGAACAATTTATGCTGAATTTCGTACTTTTTGGAGGTGTGGTGAATAAATTAGAAAAGGGGATTCCTAGAGAGAAGATGTCACAGTTCTCACACTAGGATTTTTTTTAATATTGCCTCGTAGATTTAAGAACTTAAAACTTGTATACTATTAAATTATGGATTATTAGCTATATTTTTATGCTATATTTAATCATATAGTAGTTTATTTAAATTTTGAATGTAACTCATTAAGACCTCATGACATGCACAGAAAAAGATGCCTATAGTGAGAGCATTAAATAAAATTATGTCTGAATGAGATTGTTTGTCTGACTCTGTAAAAGTTTTTCAAATAGACCAAGATTTATGGATCTTAATACATAATGCCTGCAAAAAAGCATAGCTTAAATGATAAAATATGGAAAATTGAAGCAAGGGCATGAAAACTACTGCAAGTGTTTTGCAGGTCAAGGCTAGTGTTAGATTAATGAAATTGTAACAACAAGTAGCATCGAGTTTTGCATGTTTATTGAAACTTAGTAGCTTACTTGGTTAAAGGTAAGTACAGTTAGTGTTCTAACCACATGTTTAGAACAGTCAGAAACAAAAATTCCATATTTTATTATTGGGTCATTTGTCAAAAATGTTGTTTTAGGTTTTATTAAATAAACTTGTATTGGCTAAGTATGTCTAGCCAAGAGAGCAGTGTATCTTAAAGTAGGCTTTAAAACAAAATACTTGATGTCTGCTTCTCAGAGTATTAACTGAAGGTAATCTAGCATGAAAAGAATGTTTTAATATCTACACTTAACCAAAGAATAAAAAATACAATTTATATCTTTGAAGTATATGAAAGAATAGTTGGAAATCAGAATCGTAACTAGATGTAAGGATGTTTTTTTTCTACCACCCCTAACCTGTTGTTGGGTGTCCAAAATTCCAATAAGATCACACTTGATTGCAGATGCTATTTTTTCTATACGTTACTTTTAAGTATTCCTTTATGTTTATCTGCTCATAGGTGTGTAATAAAGGTATTTCTGACATTTCTTTGTTTGAGTTCTTTTGTTCAGTACCAGAACTCATTAAGTGAGTTAGATTTATGGTATCCAGAAGTGCATCTGAAATTAGACTTACTTTATGTTTTGATATGTTACTGATATGTTTTGGTATTGAATAAAATCTATCTTGGACAATGGTTGGTGGTAGACAAAGGGTAGGGGTAAAATGCTGTTTTAAGCACACCTGGTTAGAAATTCATAAAGTTCTAATTAAGAAGAATGTGAGGAAAAAACTTCTACAACTGAGTTTTATTTTATTTTAGGTTAAAAAAAGCCCTGGTGCTTTACTATTTTAGACATGAACTATACAACGTTGTTTCGAATATTTCACACTGTATATAAATGGAATTGCAAATATACCTGTGATTGTCTTAAATATATTCTGGCTGATAAGTGCTATTCTTAAACAAAAGGACTCCTGGACAGTGATTTGTGGTAGACAAGAGATAAGTCTAAAGTGTTGATTTTACAAACGGCTTTTTAAGATGGATGTGAAGAAAAAAGATCTTCAGCCAACTGTGAATTTAATTTTTTTGTCAGGCTTAAAAACTCTTATATGTTAGAATTTTTTATAACTTCTTTTATGTTAGTTTTTACCATGTTATTTAAATACGATATTACATTTGAAAACAAATTTTCTGAAGTAAAATGTGAGCTTTAAATACTTGTGCTACAATTTTCACGGGTTATCATTGTCTTTTATTTAACTTGTTTGTTGGTTTAGTTACATTTTTAATAAAGTTGGACTATACTGCTAAAAAGTTTGTATCTGTTTATACAGTCACAGGACCCCTGATGGAAGCACAAATAGCCTATGTGTGTCGGGAAACATTAAAAGGCTTAGAATACCTTCATTACATGGGGAAAATGCATAGGGACATTAAAGGTGCTAACATTCTGTTGACGGAAGATGGGGATGTAAAACTTGGTGAGTTAAATCTCAAACTTGTTTTATCAATAACTGTTAATAAAATATTGAACCTGCCTCAGTAGTAAATCATTATAAGTTTGTTTGTTGTTAGTCACAGCCAGTGGATTACTGCAGAAATTTATCAGTGGAGCTGGACTGCATAAATCCACACTATCTGTATGAGATACTTTAATGGATAATATTTTATAGTTTCTTCTATGTTTTAAAGTACACTTCAGATACACACACACACACCAAAGAAGTTTGTTTTTCACTGCCTAAATGTATGTTCTCCTGTTTGCTAAAATTACTACAAATTTAGTCTTTCTGGAAGAAGTGTTGCTAGATACTGAAAAGATTTGGAGGATTGGTCCCCAAAAAGCAGCTACTAATAAAAATAATTAAAATGTAATTACAATGTAATATAGTTTATATAAGATCTTAAAATAGATTTGGAGCACTGTGAAATACAAGGACATGGGTCAATGCCCAGAAACAGCAATGCCATCTGGTGCTCAGTTGTGTTGAGCAAGTCTCAAAGAAGTTCATAAAAGTTTCATTCAAGAGGGAGGAAATATTATCCTCTGTTAAATATTATCTAAAACTTAAAACTAAGATTAAAGTTTAAAATATTAGCCTATAAAGTTTACCTAATGCTAATAAACAAATCTAATGTATTTAAATAAAACAGTATGTTACATTTCATTGTTTTAAAAATGAGCACGTAACTTATCCAAATAAAATAACTCATCAGACTAAAAAAGGAAAATGAGAAAGAAAGTAAGAAATTTGATAAGTTCAAAAACATGAAAGAGAATGAATAAAACTCAAATAAAACTGAGACTGCAGCAAAGTTACAACTAGACATTACTGATAAGGAACACAAAATGATACTGAACTAATTGAATCTAAATATAAGTGATAGAAAATCATTATATGTCGGTATGCTGAGCAGACAAAAGAAATTGAATATTTTTCACAATTACTGGGCTCACACAGTGGTTTTTAGACTATCTCATCTTCATCTGAAAAGTTCCATAAGACATACTATTCATAGTTCTAATTGTGACAGACAAGTCTCCCCCATCATATGTCATGGTTACATGTTACTGCTATAAAATTAAAATCTTATGTTAGACATATAAAAGTAAGGCAATTAAACATCAAGTTTTTGGAAAATAACTTTCAATGAAAGAAGATTATTCAAACAAAACTGTTAAAGTCACTTTTTTCTTGCTTTAATTAGTTTTTAAGTATCTGAATTCACTCTATTGTCCATTGCATATCATTTAGTCATGTCCCTCAGTGGGTCAGTGATAAGTTTAAGGACGTAGAAATGATAAAATGTGGGTTTCAATTCTTCATTGTGGACAAAGTACAGAAAAATCTATTCTGCAGCTTTGCACTAAGATAAACAAACACTTGACTATATTTTTATTTTATTAATAAATTTATTAGCTCTCTCAACACGAGCTCAGTCAATTTGGCCACCCACATGACCTTCTCGTACTCGTTTAAAGTCTTTATAGATATTATACTTTTAACTTTCAATATAGTGTGTATATCTTCACAAAATTTGGCAGTCTTTCAGTTAACATTATGTCTTTCACATAAAAAAAATCATATTTTTAGTGAAGTGTTTTTAATAAACTAAAATAAAGATTTGAATATATTGAGTATTTATTTTGAATAGTCCATGTGCAAAGTAATTTTCATGTTAAGATTAAAATACTTTTCTTCATCTCAAAAATCTCAAATTTCCTTTGTGTAATCCCAAAACCCTCCTAAATACATTTCAAACGTTTTTTTTTTCAGTAAAACTTTATTTTATCTGTTATTTTCTCTACTCTATCTCCATACTGGATTGATCAGTTTGATCGACCTCATAACTACCAAAAAGGAAAATCTAAATAAATCTAAATTACTCTTTATTTCTTTTTAGAATGACTTCAAATTTTAATATGAAACTATGTTCATTCATCCTAAGTATCTTTAAACTCATCACAATATACATCTATTTATAATTAAATTTTATTGTTTTATTGCTCTTTGAACTGTGTCTAACTACTATCTGTGCCATTATAAGTTGTAAATCACTCGGGGAACGTGCAGCTCACGTTACACTATCGAATTACATTACCTATGTGCTGCTCACATGCATGCCTCGTAAAACATTTTTATTATATTATTATTATTATTTATTTTACCAAATCTAATCTTAACTAACCTCAAAAGATCCCTATTTTTACATTTTAGTTAATTTTATAATAATAAATACAGAACAAACATGAAAAACAAGAAATAAAGTATTTACCAAATCTTCTTTTTTCTTGCTGTCGATTGTCGATGACACTTAAGCCTACTTTTTTTATACTAATGGTAATAATTTACTAAATAATTTTTATTTAATTGAATACTACACCAAGGAACATAGATTAATAACATGCAAAAAGAAGACAATTTCCCCTAGCTCTCAAATTTTTTCTGGCTTTCTAACTATTCAATAAGAGCCGTTACAAATCCATCTAAGCTAGACATTACCATTCCTGTGTGAACCAAACCTGTACTACAAGTGAAATTGATGCTTATATGTTCAGAATACAATATTATACAATATGTCAATTTATAGATGAAAACCTTGGCTTTCTATTGGTTATAGGTAATATATAATTAAATATAAGAGAGAACTATTAACAAATACTCAGAGAGGATGTGATATGTGGGTGTGGCAGGAGGGGTCTTATTTTCTATTTGATAGATCTCTAACCAAACAAAATTGAAGGCTATAAAAATTATGGTTTGACTGAGCAATGTTGATTTGAGGATTTGTTTAATGCTAACTGAAAATTTTGTTTAAAAAAAAATATTCAAAGTAAATTAACAGTCAGTGATACTTTTTTCATGATTTATTAATTAATACTTTTAAGTTCAAAATTGAGTAATTGTTGTTATAAGCTTAACTCTCATTACAAGCTTGGTTTATTTGACTGAGATTGTGACCCCAAAGTTTCCATACTATAACTTTTAATGTTTTTGTATCTTTTATTGACTGAAAATAACATGTAAGTTTGCATCAGTTATGATTATTTATATGACAGAAAATAATAAATATCCGTAACAAATATTTAGGTTTTGACTTATGCAAATGTTTGGTGCATGTAATGTGTAAAGGTTATTTTTTAGGAATGTCTGAAGAAATTTTTTAAATGGGAATATAAATGTTTAGTAATCATTAGCAGTTAGTTCTTTTCTTGATATTTTATTTTGAATCCACTGTAATTTTTACATGTATAATGTTATAAGCATTCAGAACAATCTCAAAATAATCTCTTTTTTTAGCTGACTTTGGAGTTTCTGCACAAATAACGGCAACTATCAGCAAACGAAGGTCATTCATTGGCACACCTTACTGGTAATTAAATCCCTTAGTTTTTGATATTATTTTAACAGGTATTCATGTTTCTAACCCCCTTCACAAAATTATTTTAAAATGGTAATGTACTGCCCATACAATTTTATTAATATAACTGTTTGAATATTTATTTCTCTGTATGTATCAATTAATTTTTATTAAAGAACAGAAAAACGTTTGTGAATATTTAGCAGCTAAGAAGATACAGAAGTATTGAATATGATAGCCTTCAAATTTGGTGTGAATAAGGTAGTTTTAAGGAATAGGTTATGCTAGAATGTTATTGTAATGATAAGCTCTGTTTTATTAGCTCACTGGTGATAACTTGTAAGCTTCTGATGTGCTTAGGTTTGTTCATTTTGATCCAGATGATCCGATTTTTTAGTTTTATTTTGCAAGTTAAGTCTAGAATAATTCAGTCTTTTGTTAGGTGTGATGGTCAAAAAATTGGGTGATAACATTAAATATTTGAGTTTCATGAAGCTTTTTACATTTTAATACTTTTTAAACCTGAGATAACTGTTAGACCTGTTTCTTTAGCATATGTTTTTTCTCGTAAGCTTAGGATTTAGAATTCTGTTTGTAGGAGAATTTAATGTGTTAAAATAGCTAGTTTGTGATAGATATTCTAATTACTGAAGTATATTCTAATATGGATTTTTCTTGGTTATCTTCTACCATGTTATCAGTTTCCAGTTGCTTGCACATTGAGTTTTAGAGTGGTTCTCAAGTGCCTGCTAAAGGAAATTGTGAAGGTAGTCATTACAGTTGAAGGTTAAATGTTTCTGCTTTCTTCACTTACTTACTGTACTTGATCTTGTATTCATTCACTGATTCATGTAAGCACTGAATTAAACCACATTTTAACAAAGATTAACTTAAGGTAATTGTGGTATGCTTTGCATTTTGGTAGAACTCTGTGATTAGTTAATTTTTATAGCTAGTCTTGATTTATGAACTGAATGAAAAAAGTATTTACCCTTTTGTACTGAACATAACTAAGCACGACACATAATGGCTGCATAAGCTTATTTTTAATACATTTTTGGTGTTGATAGTGGGATGGATCCAGTGCTGAGGCTTTTATCCTGGTTAAATCTCCCTCGATCAAAGTTAATTATTATTATTTCTTTAAATGTTTTCCTATATAATTTAGCATTAAAATCCTTAATTTCTTTTCTGAATAAGCTTTGCTTATTATGTACCTTTGTTGATAAATTATGCTTATTAATTTTACATCATATTTAGTTATCAAAGGAAATTTGTGTTCCTGTTCTTTAAGTGAGTTTTTTTTTCCTTTTTAAACAACAGGATGGCTCCTGAAGTTGCAGCTGTAGAACGTAAAGGAGGCTATAATCAACAGTGTGATATATGGGCCTTAGGAATTACAGCAATAGAACTTGCAGAATTACAGCCTCCCATGTTTGACCTTCATCCCATGCGGGCACTTTTCTTGATGTCCAAATCTGGTTTTAAGCCTCCAACGCTTAAGGATAAAAATAATTGGTATAGTACTGTAGTTCTTCTCACCATTAGTGTGTGTGTTTTGTTTAAAATGTTAATTTACCTTATTGAATACCTGCTGCAAAATAATTATAAGTACATTGAAGTATGTTTGTAGTAAAAGTTAAACATTTTAAGTTATTTAAATTTCGAATGCTGTCAATCAAACTTTTATAAATGCAAATTTAAATGAGTCAAAAAGCTACTATCCTTTTTGCTTGGTACTTTTGTTAATGATGTAGTCTAACTTCTCTGCTGAAGTTTTAATAAAATTGCTTATTTTACTTCATTATAAATTGTATTAGTGAGCAAGGGATAGGTGCTTGGTTCTGAATAGTGGCTGCATTTTTGTTCTACAAGTATTATCTACAGCTGTGAAATTTTAATCTGTTAATAATGATACTCTGTGTACAATACCTCATTTCCAGTAAGTTAAGACATTTGTCAAACTAAGTTCACTTGGTGTAAAATTATTTTGAATGTATTATGTTGTCTGTACTTGAAGTGTAATTACATTTTAAAAATCATATCTTGAATTTCAGTAGTTCTATGTAGAGCAAATAATAACACTAAAATCAAAGCTATTTGGAATTTGTAATATCAGTATCAAATTGTAATATGCTATAACAAAGTAAAACCAGTTTCTTCTCCTCAGTTCATTGTTATACAAATCAAATATCTGATGATCAATTATTGGTCTTTTGGCTTATATACAGTGTTTTTTACGTTTTCATTTGTAATTTTGAAGTGAATCACAAGAGTTTAAAGTGTTCCAGATTGTTTATGGATCATGGCTTGACCTCAAAGTTGATAAATGCTTTATTCATGTGGAGGATCATTGTATGAATGAAAGCCAGTCAATATAAGCCAGTATTTTTAGCAATATTGGGATCCACTGCTAAACAAATGGTACAGTTGCTTGGACATCTGGAGAAATCAAACCTTCATCAACAGCACAAGGAGAAGACCATTATCTGTTCCATTTGACTTGCTGTAGTTATAGCATACCTGTTTAGAGGCTGAATCAGATGTTGCTTGTCATAGATGGATGCCATTTCAGTGTGCAGATGGTTAGAAACAGCCTTTATGTGGTTGTTCTTTGTATACCTGATATCTAGTCTAATGAAGTGCATGCTGTGCTGTTTTAGTAAGGTTCTAAACAGCTCACTCACATTGATGCACACATTCCAGTGAACCAAGGTCACATGGAGTAACATTCTTTTCATAGAGGAAATATATAATACTTATTTGAAGAGGATCTGAAACAAAAGCCAACTCCATTTTTCTACAGTGACATATAATGATATTGGAACTATTATGTGGGCAGGAATAAGTGTACTGACTTCACATTGCGCTGAATATTACCATTAATGCCACAAATTATATGGAACACATCTTGTGCCCTTTTGTATTGCCACATGCTTGTGCAATTGACCTTCACTTTATTTTAATAAATGATACCTCATGTTACTAGTGTACTAGATTGGTTGTCAGATTTCTGGAAAAAGAGGGCATTAGCTGAATGGAGCAGCCAGCATGCTAATCATACTTAAGTTTCATTGAACATAGGTTGCTCTTGGGAGAAACATTGTCTTTTAGTAACTATGTTAATACCCTATCAACATTCAAAATTAAAGTATGCAACATCAGCACCAGTCTGCCTTTGCTGTTCATGGTTACCATACTCCATATTTAAATGAAATATCCATGATCTATAAAATGGTAAAAATACCTCAACAAAATGTTTGTTTACGAGAGTAGGCAGAATGGTCACTCATTTGAATTTTTGATCATGTGACTGATCATCATAAGGATGATTTGTTAAAAAATGAACTAAGAGAAATGATAGATATTATTTTATTAACAATGATTTTGCCTTGTCGTGGCTAAAATATTTAAAATTCAATTAGTCTTTAATTATTTTGTGCATAATAATATTAAGTCAAACCGGATAAAAACTTTTTCCTGCCCCCTTTCAGGAAATAATTGTAATTTGGTAAAGTGAAAGATTCAATAACTGCATTGAAGTTCCTGCTTCTTTCCTCTCTAGGAAAAATTTTATTAATAAAAATGTTTGATATGTTTCTTCTTTTGTTTTCTGCAGAAACAAGTATTCAAATTAAAGATTTTATACATTAAAAATATTGTTGTTAGTGTAATTGGTTGAAACTATAAAGTTTTTTAACTTTTAAGTAAGCTTTTTATGAATATTTAGTAAAAAGATATATTGGCAAAGAAAAATACTTTTCAATCTTTTAGGTCTCCAAATTTCCACCATTTTGTGAAAGTAGCCTTGACAAAAAATCCAAAGAAACGACCTACAGCTGAACGACTTCTTTTGGTAAAAGAAATATGTGCTTATTTATTCCAGAGCTAATACCAATAGTTTTTGTAGGTGTGGATTTTTACACATGATTGATTGTTTAGTGATGAAATGTAATAACCTGCATAACTTAAAGCCTAAAGTAACTTGAAATAATATGGGATGGTGATGCATGTATAAATGTCAAATATATATAAATAGTATTTGCATGTTAAAGAATCAAAGCAGCAACATGAAATTGTGTATTTAATAATACATAAAATATGCAAATGTTTGAGAATGTTCCCAGCTTTATGTTAGGATATGTTATTATCATTTAGTGTAATATAAGCTTGTGTTATAAACTGTGATTAGTGCTTATTTTTTAAAAACTTAGTAAATTGAAAAATGTTTTAAATAAATTATTGTTACAAGAGTAATATGAGGGAAGAGGGGGAGAATTAAACTTTTGAGTTAGAAAAATCTTTTCAAAATTAGTGATAACATTCTCTATAGGTGTTTAAATAATTAAATCCAAGTAGACTCCAGGTAATTATTTAGGGAGAAGATAGAACAGTTGGATGAAATGTGTATTTATAGGAAAATATCGTTTGTACCATTATTGAGGAACTAATTGTTACTATAACACTTGATTAATTACCAGTGAATTCATGGTAATTTTGAATCTACATAATCAGTTCTGCATATAAATAGTATTAACAAAGAAGCTTTCCAATTGTACTAGAAGTGGTCTCTTCATAAATATTTTATATGTGTGTATAAAGCTATAATGTGATACCTTTTGTTTCTATCTGTAATCAGTATATTTGAATAAGCATTATATGCAATTAATAACTTTAGTTTTAAAGTAATTTTCATCACTAGGTCAAACTTAATTTGGCTGTTAACTTACCAAGCATTTCTGTAAGTGCAATATATTTTTCTGATTTTTATCATCATCATGATAAATATTTTATGATCTCTTTCATCACTTTTGAAGTTTTCTTGGTGCATTAAAAAATGTGGCAAACTTTTGACTGTTTATTTTCCTGGTTTATCAACAAATATCTTAATCCAGAATGTTTTTATTATTTTTCTACACAACTCTTTGAAATAGATCTCTAATCCCACTAATGTTATGTGTTTTAGCTAAAAAAGAAAAAGTATTAATAGTTGATCTGCTGATTTTCCTGTTAACTATTTATGAACTAATTAAATTTTACAGTAGTTCAAGCTTCTGAAATCTTGGAATAGATTATCTGTTATATACATTGGGTGTAAGTGTAAATAATTGCATATTTAATATATTGTATTTCTAATCAGGAAGACCAGTGTAGATCTTTAGATTCATTTGATTGAGTATTTGTTTTTCTGTTATGTGATAGCTTTTAATATTTTGATTTTTGAGTAAATGTATTCAATGCTTCTAGATGTAATTATATTTTATTTAAGAAAAAAAATATTTGTTATTTAATTCTATAGCATCCATTTCTACAAGGAAACTTACCGAAACGACTAGCCAAAGAACTTCTTGATAAAGCCAATAATCCACATCATCATTTTGCAGACTTTGACCTTGATGATGAGGGGGTAATTTTTTCTTCATCTTTTCTTACGATACTTTGTGAATCTTTCAGTTTACATTTTAATGAAAATTCACTTCTGTACATAAATCAACAAACAATTAGATGCATGATGATTATATCCAGAAGTGTACAGTTGTGATCTATAAATAACTATGATAAAACTTAAATAACCCTGAACGAAGGTAAGTATAAAGCATTTGTGAAGATCAGACAGTATGTAATAATCCAACTGTCACTTGAGATTTTATAAAGTAAAATTTAATGTTTTTCATGACAAGGTCATGTACTTTTTAGATGTATTCAATACTTATAAATTAAAGCTCTAGATTTTTAAGTTGCATCCAAAAGTAGGTGTAATTACATGAGTGAAATCTATGTTCAATATAAATTTTATAAAATGGATAGTACAAGTGACAAACCAGCATTATATGAAGTGAGCACATACACGGACAAGACATATGCGAGTATACGTGTGTAATGGTATATTAAATATTGAATAAACATACATTTTATTACCATGTTCAATACAATTTTTAACAATTTGAAAATAAATATTTTTGTTAAATAACTTAAACAGCAGCAATCTGGACGTTTATTAAGATTTCTCCATTTTGAATACAATTTAGTTATTTGTTTCAATAAAGTTAATAGTTCTTATTCTACACATAAAAAAACAGTGTTATTATAAGAAAATAGGAAAAAAATATGTTTTAAAGAAATAACACAAATGTGTATATGCATGGTGATAAATTCTTTAAGAACAATAATCAGCTTAGTAGAACATTGCACTTTTTTTCTGCTCATGTATGAAAGGCTATACCTGATGTACCACAACGAATTACATCTAAAAGATCGGATAAAATGAAGCAGAGAACCAAGTCAGAACTTCACAGTATGTATAATGTTTTTCGATATATTTATTGGATGAGTGGTGTGTATGCTTTACAAGTTACATAAATAATTTGTGTGTTTGCAGGCACATATAGTCAATATCTGTTGAACATAATTTTGTGACAGTAGTATGTTGCAGGTTTTGATATCAATAGTTAAGTGGTAAGAAATTGATATTCAAGAGTATGATTTAAAAGATCCCTGGATTTCTGTGGTGTTTCTATGCTGCAGTGCATTGTTAGTCACATGTAATGTGGTTAGTTTATTTAATATATACTAAGCTACATCATTATATATTATGTATAATTGAAAGTACTTTAAAACAACCAACAGTAAGCTTGATATTTACTCAATAAAATTTAAAATCACTGCATTGGTTTTTGTATATAAATTGTGAAACTTGTAAGAAGAGGCTTAGTAAGTTTGCTTTTTTAATAGCTACCTATATAAAGTAATCTGTGTTTTTTATTTCTATTCTGAAATTCTGTATGCAAGTTATTCTTTACTTAAGGGGAGAGGATTATCAAAGGGAATTAGTTTTATTTTTTAATAATACTTACTGCCTTGCATATTTTTTTCTAGTGTAGATGTTTTGTGTGTGTGTTTTGGAAATTAGATTAATAGCTAGCATATCAAATGTTTGTTAAAGCTCAGGGTCATTAATCAAACATTTTACGTGTCTGTTAAAGCCTTCTGTATAATATCCACAGAAGGGTTTTTTTTTTGTCTAACTTTATTATATAAACATCAGGGATTGTAATAATATTAACAGTTGTAAAACTGTTTAAGGTGATTGGAGAGACTTGTGACTATATAATATATTTCTAAAAAGTTTTACTTGAAATTAACGACAATTATTTTTACACTTGAAACTGAAAGTTTCATTTTTTCTGATCGAAAAACTTTTAAATAATAGAAATTTTGAAAATTAAACATGAATATGAACTAAAGTTATCTATTATATTTTCTTAACAGAATAAACTGAGCAGCATTCGAATAAAAGTGAAAAGTTTAAACATCTAGGCTATGAGTTTTAATTGGATGAAATAAAACTAATGTTTATTGAATATAAATTATAGCAAACAACTAGAAGGTTTGTGCTTAAATAAACTAGTGATTTCTATAAATAGTAGTTCATGTGTATAAGTGGAAAATTATTTAATTTTGTGTTTTGGGAATAAGTTTTGAAATGTTTCATCAAGAGGTGTGTGCTTATTTTTCTAACTAGTGGAAAGTCTGAATTTTGAACCTCCTTTGTTGACTGAATTATCAACAGCAACAGATCAGGTAAGGTGTAAAGTTGTGTTATTTATAAGGAAAATAATCTTTCATCCTAAAGTTTGAAACTATGATTCCTATATTCAGAGCCAAGTGTGGCATGGTAGGATAGCATACTAGCCTGCGAATCCAAGTGTTCATGGATCACATCCTGGTGCTGCCAAAATGTGCTCTGCACTTTGAGACCATGAGTGCTTTATAAGAGTGACAGTCAAATCACACTTTTGCATTAGAGCAGCCCAAGAGTTTACAGTGGGTGCTTTTAACTATTTGCCTTCCCTCTAGTTTATTAGTTCAAAGTTAGGGATGGCTAGAGCAGATAGCTCTTGCGTAATTTTGTGTAACAACGTGAACAAACAGGCCTGCTCTCGTATAATTTTTTTCTTTCATACACAGCTATGCAATTTTTGAAGTTGTAAAAAATATATTTCACTCATTTCATGGAAGTTATTTTTATGTCTTTGCTAATAGTTTGTAGGTTCTCATGTTAGTAAGCTAGAGTGAGGTTAGTAGTATGTACATGCTAATAGCTTATTGGTTCTCATATTAGTAAGCTAGAGTAAAGATAGTAGTATGGGTGCAGCACTTGTACTCTGAGAAAGTTTTGAAACTTTTTAGATGTTCCGTGACCATAAATATCAGTGGCAAGTCTAAGAAATATTTATTTGTGAATTTTGAATTTAAAAATAGTCCAGTAGAAATTGACATGGACTCGGACATTTTACATAACAACCAAATGTTTGTTCTAGGGACTTCTATATGATGTCAATTATTTAAAATAACAAAATGTTCCTCCACAGAGGATAAAACGAGTAAGGAGAGAGAATAATAATTCCCAGAATTCAAAACAAGATAAACTTTCATATGCAAACCCTCACCTTTTTAACAAAAATGTCATCATTCAATGCAATTTGGAAAACTACGGGCATCACAATGCCTTATTAGATAACAGAAATGTTCCTCAATGGATAAAACAAGGAGAGAGGATAATAATTTCAGAATTCAAAATAAATAAAAATAAATAAGATTAATATTAACTGCTAATGACTTCTACCAATGTCCTTATCGTAAGGTAAGGATGGGGTGATCATTATATAATGCAGTGATGATCAAGTTAAAGTTCAATGATCACACCTGTGATGAAGGTGCTGCATTAATCTCAGTGTCATATATGACTAGATATTAATATTGTCTTCTATAAAAGAAATGTTCATGAATTAAATAGTTAAATAAATACTTCTTTTCGGGACTGTACTTTGAATTTATATACTTGCTTATCTTACAGTACATCTGTTTATACTGTTTTCATTCTAAAACACTCTTTTTACTGTGTTATAGTATTTAACATTATATTCATATATTCTTCTCTGATATTTTTTTTCTTTTCCTGCTATAGAATTGTTTTGTAAGTTTCTTAATATCATAAATAACTTGTAGTAGTTTAGAATGCCATGGTTAATAAACTTTGAACATTAAAAATACAGTTTTTAACTGGGATATAAATCATTAGTATGATTTGAAAATAAAATTAATACCACACTTGGTTTACTTTAGTTATCCATATTTTAATTTTTTTTTCATGACCATAAGTTTTATAAAGGCTAAATAAAGACATGCCGTTACGTTTATGGAAATTGGAGGTTATCATAGACTTTATTACTAAATCTGTGATTGAGCAAAAATTGCACTATATTGATGTACTGTTTAGAGTATTTTAAACAGTGTTTTAAATAGTTGTTCATTTGGGATTTGTCCTTTTGGTATTTTTTAGTAAATTATTATATTATTATATATACGTTAATATTAAGTAATTTTTATCTAAGAATTTATCTTGTAGGACACTGGGCAGTGTGATATATCACAAGCTTGGGGAATTTCTGAGGTGAGCATTTTCTGCTATTTATGAAAGTTTGCTTTCCATAAAGTGCTATGTTACCAGTGCTGAATGTACTTGCTGGATTTCTCTCCCCCTTTAGATATTTTTTTAATCGATTTATTTATGTATATATATAAACAAACTCGGTTAATGTTTAGTTTACATTTGACATTCTAAATAATATCCTAGGGTTCTGAAATCTAAAGCAGATTAAATATGGTTTATCACTGTTAGGTATACACTAACACCTAAATGATACTCCTGTTCCAGATTGCTAAGCATTAATTTCATTACTGTTACTGAGATGTTTACATGATACCGACAGTGTGAAATTCCTGCAAACACCACCAAAAAGATAAACAAGTTTGTAGACCCAGTGAACATAAAAATAAGTTTTATTTTAAGATTCCAAATTTTTTAAAAGTAATAAAACTTTAGATCTTGTGCAATATGTATTTTATTGTGTTAGTATAAGTTAAGTGTCAATAATTTATTGCTTATTTTCTCTCTTTTATTGACACTTGTGTCATGCTTTCAAATCTTCAAAGGTGTTGGAAGAGTAGCAGCATGTTACAAATAGCAAAAAGAATAAATATGTTCTACAAGGTCACAGATTATTCAGAAAACGTGCAGCACAGTGCAAGAACAGTTAAGCCTAGAATACAAGCTCTACAGCACCACTTTAAGAGCAAGATTGTAATACTGTATATTAACTTTAAAAGTTAGAACATTTAGCCCTCTGTGCCAACTTGTCTAAAGATAAAAACTAGCTAAACTAGTGGAGAAGCAAGAATGAGGAAGTTGATTGCATCCAGCATTTCAGTGAAAAAAACATTCTTCCCATAGAACTGGAAGAAGACTGAAAAATTATCCCAAACTGACAATAAAATTTCACAATACAAGAGTCTCAAGTTATACATCAAAATTGTACAACAAGCGAGAAATGAAACATACTTTATATCAGGCATGTCACAGTGAGCCACTATCTCAACAAAGATGATCTAGATACTCAGCCTTTAACTTCATGATGAACTGTTTCATTTGTGCTGATAAGTGCTTAACAAAAGATGCTAAGAATTCAAACAGTTAGATGTTTTTTAGAACAAAAACAATTGAAGGAAAGCAACAGATACCAGAAGTCTGTGGTGAAAGAGGAGACGACCTCGTATCAATATTTGAAGTGGGGTTTTGCTGGCAGCCTTCTGTTTCCATGTTTCATTTACTTCTCTTTTTTTCCATCTGCTGCTGCCAACCTTACTCATAAGTATAGTTAGGTGATTAATGAAATCTGCTAATCAATTAATCATAAGGCTCATTAATCAATTATTCTCACATGAAATTTAGATAGTTAGAAAAAATGAAAAATGGTAATAATCAGAAATACTAATTTCAATTATTTTCATGAGTTATGACAACTTTCAATCAATCAAAAATAGTAATGAGAAATCATAAAGTTAATATTTCAATTACTTGGATAATTAGAATAATTAAAAACTGTAATAATCAGAGAAACTAATTTTTATTGATTTTTTTACATGACACCGATGCTCATAGGTAATTGATTATATCAATTAACTGAGTTAATTACCCAGTTGTAATAATAAGCATTTTTTATTTTTAAATCCTTGCTTACTTTCTACTTGGTGCTTTTGATTATACATTGATGTGCAAAAAACCATTGTATTGCAACTGCCTTTTCTGACAGTTGGGAAAAGTTTATAGTCAACTTCACTGAACTTTAGAATTTGTTTGGAAAACAAAACATCTCTGACATGGCACTCTATAACATGCATCTCCACTAAAGATTATAGTATCTTAGGATATGTTTTTAATATGACGTATAACATCTATCACAATGTAATGTAATTGGATACACCTAAATAAATATTATTCACATTAAAATTCATACTTCGCCTGATAGTACTACTGAAAAGTAGAGTTTGGTGTTTCTATTCTGCTATCTTTGTACCATGAGTACAATTTTTTTCATGTTAACCTATTTATAACCAAATTTAGAAGAAACAATTTAGCATTAAAATAAAGACTCAGCCATGCCAACTGGGTACACACAAGGTTCTTGATCAGAATGTGAAAGAGAATTGAAATACTTTTTTTTATGTCTTTCATAGTTGGCAACCTGACCATTTGTAACCATAATTAGTAAAAACTTTTCTTACTTGTTTATCTTCTTTAACATGAGATGATTAAGTTGGAGACAATTTAAGGTTAAACTAGATCACCGTGACCCGTTGGGTCCAGTCACTATTCAGAGATTATGAAGAATTCAGGCTAATTTCAATATTGCAACGAAATGAAGGTTTATTTTGAGATAATTTGATTAAATATTTCAATCCATTCATATTATTCATAATTCAAGAAAAGATATTTGATTGTTGATCGGGGGTAAAAGGAAAGACCATTTCATTTTTCAAAAAAGTGTAGTAAGATGTTTCGTAAAGAGCCCGAATGATAGTGTGAATGATTTTTTGACTGAGAAAACAAGCAAGCAAGCAAACAAACAAACAATCTCAGAGTTTTAGTAGTATATAGATAGATAGATAGATTCTTCAAGATCTTTGTTTTTGTCATCTTACGCCTTTTAATGAAGATGGGAACATTGACAGGGAAATAATATAATAGCCAATGCTTGGTGAGAGGTTTTCATTTATAAAATTTTGTTGTTTTTTGTTACTTGATTTTTATTTTATTACCTCATCTCCATAGTTACTATTTGCAAATAGT